GAATTTGAGAGCATGAAGGGCTTTTATAGAGGACTGGAACTCAACTCCTACCACCCACACTGGATGGCTCACACTAGCCTGTAACTCCAGTTTCAGGGGAATCCAATGCCTCTGGTCTTCTATGACATTTGCACTTGTGTGCACAACCCTCCTCTCCCATACATAATTTAAAAAAAATAAAATATACTAAAACCTTTTAAATTTGAATATAAAGACTCACTACAGCTGGGAGGAAGGCCCAGGGGCACAGCAAGTGACTACTATGTATAGAGGCCTGGGTTGCATCTCCAGCATGTGCTCCTCACACCCTCCTTCACAAGAAACACGTGAAAGAGAAAACACAAAGAAACCTAGCAGAAAGAGGAGCAGCAAGAGTGGAAGGAATGTCTGGCAGAATGGTCAGTGTAAGAGTTGACACCTTTGTACCTGGATGCCACTGGCCCCTCCCTGAGTGGAGTGCTGGCTGACTACCCATGTATTTCATATGCTCTACAGGCACTGGGATCTTGTTTTCCAATTAAACCAACACAAGTATAGAAGGAAAGAGACAATCAAAAAACTTCCTCAAGACAGCAAGACGTCTCATGGACCTGGCAATCTGAGTTTGATTCCCAGAACACACAAAGGTGGTAGAAGAGAATCAATGAAAAACAACTTTCTCATTGTTAGCCCCCCAAAAATCTTATATATTGCAAATAAATGATCAAAACCAAACCAAAAGCATCAAAACTTGAAATAAGAAAACTTTTTAGTTTAGAAATTCAAAGAAGACAAAGTAAATAATGCTGAGAAGGTAACATTTCTCCACCCTGCCACCCTGGGAACCGCAAGGAAGACTTTGAACTGACAGAGAGTGTCCTTTCTAAGGGTTTTCCAACTAAGGTTCAATATTAAACAACAAATGGTTACATTTTACTAAATACAGAAAGCACACACATACATGGGATTTTATTTCACACAAAAATAATTTTCTTTTTCTTTTTGGTAGTAGAGTCTTAACTACTCTAGGTATTGGGTGCAGGAGACTGCCGCCTCAGCCTTCTGAGCAGCCAGATTATAGGCACTGTCCCAGTTTGCTTCCCATCGCTGTGAGGAAACACCACTCCCTAAGAAAGAGTTTACCTTTCCCAGTCACAGTCCCTTAAGATGGGGGCCAGGGCAGGAACCGAAGCCAAGGCCAGGGAGGCACAGCCCTTGGTGGACTGGATTCTTCCACATTATTCATTAATTAATAAATTGCTCATCAGATTTGCCTACAGGAAATCTGATAAAGCATATTTTCAGTTGAAATTCCCTCTTAGATGACCCTAGCTTGTATCAGGTTGATAAAAAGCTAGTACAGGCATATACCACGATGCCTGTCTCAGAAAATTCATTGAACACAAAATTTTCATTTTAAAATAAAATAAACCAAAATATCATGTGGGGCCTGAAGACATGGCTCAGCTGGAAGAAAGCACTTGCTGCTCTTGCAGAGAACTCAGGTTTAGTTCCTAGCACCCAACCTCCTGTAACTCCAGTTCCAGAGGACCTGATGTCCTCTCTGCTGGCACTGCACACACACAAATTATAAACAAAACATTCATAGATTAAAAAAGAAAATAAAAAAACCAAAAAACTAAACATGCTCTCTCTCTCAGATTTTAAAATAACTATTTTTCTAATCTTAAAAAAAACCCTGCTTTTGCAATTTTCTTTATTTTTGTAATTTAATCACACATAATGGACTTTTCATTACTATCTCTACTAAAATCTTTGTGAACCTGTGTATGTATGTGAGCCCACCCTCCCAACTGTGTGTGTGCATAATTGCCCAGATCAGCTTTGGCCACTGTTACTGAGAGGTTATCCACATTATTTTTTGAGACAGGGTCTCTCACTCACCTCAAGTTTCACCAAACTGGTCAGACTGGATGGCCGGTATCCCCAGGGATCCTCCTGTCTCTAGCTCCCCAGGCAAGGATAACAAGTATACATCACCACACTCAGTGACCCACCTCCTGAACCGTAAGCTTCCAAGACAAGTGTTTTATCAGCTGAGCCCAACTACTTAGCCTTCTACTGAAATACTTTTAAAATTCCATGCTAAAAGTTCCTAGGGGCTGGAAGAATGGCTCAGCAGTGGCTGCTCTACTAAAGGACCCAGTTTCTACTGCCAGCTTATATGGGAGCTTACGACCATCTGTCACTTCAGTTTCAGGGGATCTGATGCTTTTTCCTGGTGACAACAGACATGCAAGTGATGCACAGATAAACATGCAGGCAAAGTACATACTTGTAATAAATAAATAAAATAATCTGAATAATAAAAAGACAGTTCTAGATACAGATATGAAATAATAACTGCTAAATAATAATTCCTTCCTTCCTTTCATAACTGGGAAAATATACCTCAACAAAAGAATGCTAACCTAGCATGCACCAACCCTGGGTTTGATTCCCAACAATGGGGAGAATGCCAGCAGTAGAAAAGGGAAGTGGGCAGAGAATCAAAATACCAATATCTCTGTGAAGCAGAGGTTTAGGGGTACCTAGTAGGTGGCACAAGACCCAAGTGTTCACAGAAAATTTGGACTTTATTTTTTACTTATTTATTTATTTTTGCACACATTAAAACATTTATTCTGTTCTAGGACACCATCACCAGTGTGAAGGGAATGAATGCATGGTGCAGAGGCACGCCGCTCACACAAAGTTCTGAGCTATGGCCAACGCTCTGGAATACTTGCCTTCCCTCTTGCGAAAGCCTGTTGGGATATGTCCCCACAGGGTTCCCATTGACCTCAATGAGGACCACGTTGTTGAGTTAAACCCTAGGGTCATTCGGGAGCCAGGCATGTGAAGTTCCACAATGAGTGCTTTCTTCTTCTGTCCCCTGATGGCCAGCAGAAACTTGTTGCCTACCTTGCTCACCCCACTCTTGTTATAGTAGACTTGGATGCATCGAGGAGGCCGATGGTATGGGGCATTCCCCAGGGCACTATTGTCCACTACACGCACCCGAGTCATTTTCTGGATAGCACAGAGGCTCCTGGAGGTGCTGAAGCAGCGCTGGCGGAATGTTCTGCTGACATGGGCAAAAGAGCCCCAGAGCCCAGGAAGGTCAGCCATGGGATCTCAAGATACAAAACCGTGTTGGCTCCCAGGGAATCTCAAGCCACGAACCCCGCTGGCCAGGCCCCGCCCCGTCCCCTGGCGAAAATTTGGACTTTAATTAAGGCTTAAATTGAAGAGATTCATTCACACAAAACACTAAAATGAATCTTTGATAGATTTTTTTTATCCACGGTTCAAGGTAAAATTTCAAAATTCACCATTATTAGTATTGTTAAAATTTAAGACATTACTTCATGAAGATACTACCCTGCATTCAGGAAGACTGAGTCTCAAAACCACACAATTGTGCTAGAGAGATAAGAGAGCACTGGCTGTTCTTCCCGATAATCAGGGATCAATTTCCAGCACCTGTGTAGAGGCTTAGGACTGTCCATAACTCCAGCTCCAGAAGATCCAGCACTTTCTTGTGACCTCTACAGACACTAAGCATGCATCCAGGCATGCATCCAGAATACGTACATACACGCAGGCAAAACATTCATACACATAAAAAAAATAGAGTGCTTGAATCTAAATACCTTCATGGATAAAAACAGATGTCAATCAAATATGAGATGAAAAATGAACATAAGCCATCTATAAAAACAACAGAAAACATCTAACAAAAGAATTCTTCTCAACTTGAGTAAAACAAATACTTTTTGTCCTTCCTATTTGGACAGATTAGAGGGAACCACCTCCCCTTGGAGCAAAAGTTAAGCACTGCCAAAGAACTGTTAAACACTTGTTTGGTTCCCAGCACCTACATGTTGGCTTACAACTGTCTTTAACTCCAGTTTTGATGCCTTCTTTTCCTCTCCATGGGCACCAGGCTTATACATGATACACCTACTTACATACAGGCAAAACACTCATACATATAAATAAATCTAAACACTTTTAAAATAAAAAATATACCCATTAAGTCATTTAAATTTTAATAAGCCTTCATTTCTTACACCTACTTTAATATTTCATTTTTCCTTTAAATAAGCTAAGATGTTGGGCAATTCAGTGATTTGACTCTTGATAGATGTTAGAACATTTTCTGGTGTCCCAGCTTGCTTAAGGGAAGCAACCAAGCTGTCTGGTGAACTATCTTCATACCAGCACTCTTTCTATATACTGGGACTACTGGTGGATAAACAGAGCTACAATTCTCCAACCTGACTGACTGATGCTCTAAATCCCTCCTTTTTAAAACTGGGAACAATAGGCCCTGGGCTTGCCAGAAGAGCCCTCAGGCCTTAGAACTCAAAGTTGAGGACTGTCAGCACTGGAAGAATCTCCTTGCCTACTCATAATTCTTATCAATATAAAGCAAAAGACTATTGCCAGCTGACTGGCTAAAAATTTTTTTCAGATTTATTTTTATTTGTGTATAACTGCCAAAAGGGCACTGAATCTTCTGGAGTTGGAGTTGCAGGCAGTTGTAAACTATCCAACATGGGTACTAGGAACTGAACTTAGAGCCTCTGGAAAAGTTTCAAGTGCCTTAACCATATCTTCAACCCAATACATTTTTTTTGCATCTAATAATAAACATTGCCAAAAAAAAAAAAGAACTAAAGTCACTTCTTTCTGTTTGTTCTGTTTTTGTTTGCTTTGTTTTTGAGGTAGGGTCTCATTTGTAGCTCAGACTTAACTGTGATTCTCCTACCTCAAGTCTCCCTAGTGCTGGGATTACAGGCATGGGCTTCCTCACCAAGCTGCAATTATTTCTAATACAGTGGTGTGTGTGTGTGTGTGTGTGTGTGTGTGTGTGTGTGTGTATTCAATATATGTAAAATAGGTCTGAATGCCAGATATACAGGATATATACATAATTTTCAGAAACTTACCATATATCAGTGAGAGGGAAAGCAGAACTAGAGAAAAGTTTAACACATCAAGAGTCTACTAACCTTAACCCATTGAATAGTTGCTTGGATTTATCCAAAAGATAACAGAAATCTGTGACTGTCTTCCTCTCTCCCTGGGGGATGTCATCTTCAGCACCTCCAGAGGACATGGTTTCTTTAAGAGCAAATTCAGTCCTGTAAGGAAACATGTTCATTTATGCAGCTGGTGAACAGAGGGTGGGAGGAGGCCCTAGTAACATCAGTTGAAGGCATTCCCCACCCCCTCAAGACAAGCAGAGAACTCCTTTAATTACTCCAATAATCAAAACATGCAAGACGTGCTAAAAAATAAACATTCTCACACTGGTAGTGTTAAGAAATGGCAGAAACATATGCAAAGCCATTTTTAATGTTCTTTCATCCAATAACTATAATTTGAATTCCTATTCTATTACAGGCATTTGGACTGTTTAATAATCTAAAATACTGATCCTTTTACCTACTTGCCCAATTTGAGTCTATAAATTTATCCTAGATGATAAATCCTTTGGGTGGGGTGGGGGGAAGGTGGGAAGAGTGGGAGGAGAGGAAAAGAGGGAACTGGGATTGGTATGTAAAATAAAAAAGATAATTTAAAAAAAGAAAATAAAGAAGATAATCCTTCACATCTCCATATTTTAACAATTAAAACCTAAAAACAATCTAATGAGCCCTATAATTGACCCAGGGAAGTATTTCACAGACTTCAAATCCCTGCACTTACTTTATGCCATGATTTTCACTCCACTTAAGGTGGAGGTGGGGACTGAGGTGATATCCCAGCAGGTAAAGTGCTTGCCACAAAAGCACAAGGACTTGAGGATGATGCCAGCACCCATACCAAGAGCTGAGCATGGTGGTGCAAACTTGTAACCCCAGAGGTAAGGAGTAAAAGACAGACAGGCAAACCTCTAGAGATGGCTGGCCAGCCAGACCAACTGAGTTAGCTAGCTCTAAGTTCCACTGAGAGACCCTATTTCAAAAAATAAGGAGGACAGCACCTAACACACATGTGTACCAATACACAAATGAACACAAACATACGTATAGCGTGTGTACACACACACTCTATAAAACGGTGAGGCAATAAATATAAAAAGGATAAAAACTCTCTCATGCACAGAGGTCTATACTGAAACTATACTTTTTGATAAATCCAGCAAAGGTAAATAAAGAGCTTGCTGTCAAACCTGATGACCTGAGTTAGAGTACTAGAACCCTGTAGAGTGGAAGGAGAGAACAAAGTCCCGTAAATCATCCTCCAAACCCCTCTCCACATAAAAAAATTAATCTACATTTCATTTAATACAAGCTATCTTCATATGTAGTCAATTATATTAACCAGCCATTTTTAAAAGGTAACCTATACTAAATTAAGACATACAACAAAATTTCTGGGATAGCCCAGCAAAATTTGGTCCCAGTGTCTTGACAAAAAGGCAAGAGTAAACAAGGGCTAGAGATCAGAGCAAGAAGTTAGGTTAGAATTACTTTTTAAATAAAAAAGATTTAATATATATATAAACTATATATTAATATCTATTATATCAACTATATATTATATATTAATATATATATTTTAAAATTTGCATGTGTGTGTGTGTGTGTGTGTGTGTGTGTGTGGGTATGTACACATGAGTGAAGGTATGAAAGACCAGAGATATTGGATCTTCTGAAACCGAGTTACAGGTGACTGTGAGCTTAACTAGGTTCTAGAACCAAATTTGTGTCCTCTGGAAGTGTTCTTAACTGCTGAGCCATCTTTCTAGGCACTGGCAGAGTTATTCTAATGAATTTTTTCTCTCCAACATTATCTGGAACAGGCAAGAGTGGATGCAAGGCAGGAAAACTATCAGCAGACCCAGAATAGTCAAAAATCTACTGGGTAACACAAAGGTGTCAGTGGAGACACAGTGGGAAAGTCTTATTTATTTGTCTGTCTATTATCTATCTATCTATCTATCTATCTATCTATCTATCTACTTACCTACCTACCTACCTACCTACCTATCATCTGCTTTTCGAGACAGGTTTCTTTGTGTAGCTCAGGCTGTCCAGAACTAGCTCTCTAGAACAAGAGATCCATTTGCCTATGCCTCCCGGGTGCTGAGATTAAAAGCGTGCACCACCTCCTGGCATATTTTTAAATTGTCTATGTGTGTCTATGTGTCCATGTGAGTGTGTGCCATGTGTGTGGGTACAAGACATATTGGATCCCCTGGAGCTGTAGTTACAGTTAGTTCAGCCTTCAATATGGATACGTGGAACTGAACTTGGTCTTCTGGAAGAGCAATACATGTTCTAACTGATGAGCCATCTCTCCAGCACTGAAGTTATTTAACATGCAATGTCAATACTGCTGGTTTTGCCTCTTACCATATTCTGTTACCCTACTGCTCTTCTCACTTCACGGACTAGAGGAAAAAGATTATGAATAGTTTCGTTCCTGAGAAGGGAGTTCAAACCATAATATAAAAAGACTTTGACCCTAGTAAATCTCTCAACACATGCCTGCCACCAGACCCTTCATTTCCTAAGCACAGCAGACGAGGCATAAACCAAGCTGTAGCTTTCCTGACTCCATCTCATATTCTCATCAGTGAGGTTGTTAACATCCACAAGACAGGAGGAAAGAAAAAGTAAATAGAATAAAGCTCACTAAGGGGAGAATATTAGAAACAAAGCAGGTAGAAATTGTTATTATAAAACAAATATAATCACTGAAATAATAAACTTTATAGACTGGTTGAAGAGTAAGATGGAGATTTTCAAAATAATTCATAATCCACAAATGTCAGCTTTAAGGTAGTAGGCCAAAAGTTGTTAGGAAGAGATGAAAAATGAGTCAAGGAATAAAAGGACTACAGCGGCAAGAGAAATCAGCACCCATGGAATAGTGTGTACAGGCAGAAAGGCCGAACAAGGTAGAAGAAACAGCTGTAGAAATAATATATTTCTAGGATGAAAAAAAAAATCTCAGATTGAAAAGACTAAGAATGTCCAACAAACCACAGAGGGGAGGGAGGGAGGGAGGGAGGGAGGGAGGGGGAGAGAGAGAGAGAGAGAGAGAGAGAGAGAGAGAGAGAGAAGCTACCTTGAAATCTAGTCAGGCTTTTACTGTTCTCTGCAGTAGCAATAAGCCTCACATCTTCATCAACACTGTCAGTATACTTGGTAAGACAATTAGGAATTCTTAAAGGGAGAAATTACTTAAAAAAACTTTCCATTTACATTAAAAATGGGAAAACCATTACAATGAAGGGATTGGGTCTCTGTATGATAATATGCTAGACAGTTTGAAAATGAAATGATTAAATGAAGATATCTAATTTAGATGGGCTTTATGTAATGTCATTTGTAAACATTATCAGCTTTGTCATTTTTGTCTTATCACTAAAAAACTTGCTTAATCTGAGTACTAAGATACTGGCCTTAGAAAAACTTAATAAAACATATAACAGATATTCAAACCTAGAAAGAAGAGTTTAATGGAGAGCCAATTTAAGCATTGCGTTATAATAATAGAGAGGAACAGTCTAAAGTTTTCAGACAACTAACCTTAATATATCCAGTAACCTTATAGTAATTGCCAAATGGGCAGAGACTCTGTTACAGCTACCTGGATTCCTGAGCCAATGTTAGATTTAAGGAGATTCATGAAAGCAATAGCCTCATATGGTATGCATTCACTTTTTGTGAAGCAAAGTCAAACTTGTGGTCAATTTGTAATAGAATTATCCCTAAAGACGGGATAGCCTTAGTTAAGCTGCTTTAGAGCCTGGTCCACAAGTACAGTGGAGTACCTGGTTCAGAGAAGAGGCTAAGATTATTGAACAACAGAGTAAAACTAGAGGTGGGGAAATCTCCCAAGAGCAAATTCTTGGAGAAGGAGAATATAATATGCTATTATAGAAAGGCAAGCTGTATATGATGACCACACCCTGGATTTATGCCACACAGCAGCTTTGAATGCTTAGGGCAAAATTGGAGAAACAGGAAAAAAATTGAGTCATTTACTAAAGTTATACAGGGCCCAAAGGAAGCCTTAATGGATTTCTTACAATTATTGACTTCAGCAGTAAACAGAATGATACCAAATTCAGAAGCTAGACAAATAACAATTCAATCTCTGACTTTTGAAAATGCCAATTCTCTACGCAAAAGGATAATGAGTTCATTAAAGGTACGATCAACACCTCTGGAGGAATGGATTCGAGAAAGAGTTAATATTGAATCTCATGACCATGATGATGCATGGATAAGGAAGTCGATTTCTAATGGTTTGAGAAAAAATAGAAATGTCAAATGTTACAATTGTGGCAAACAAGGTCACCTTAAAAGGGATTGTAGACAGGGAGTTCCTAGAAACAATGTTTTTCCTAACGATAATCCATACCTCCCTTCTGGATTATGGGGAAGGTGTGGCAAAAGCAGACATTGGACTAAAGAATGTAGATCAACAAGGAATATTCATGGTAATCCTTTGTCACCAGGAAACTCCATGAGGAGCCTCTTGCAGAACCCTATGCCACATCTAGTATATTCCTGCCATTGTAGAGGAAAATTCCTTCTGAGAGCAATGAAAGAACATAATGTATATTGTAAGAAACCATACTGCTCTGGACAACAAAACAGCTATAAAAGACAGAACAAAAATTTCAGGAGAAAAAGTGTGTATTTTAGCAAACTTTTATAAATGAACAAAGACCAAAATAAAAAATATGAATAAATGAGTCATTGAAGGTAAACACAGGTGTGGATATAACAATAATTTCGTCAAAATCTTAGCATCCAAATTGGGCTTTTTGGTTCATAAATGTTCAGTTTTTAAAAATGGGAACTTTATCACAGGCAAAGCAGAGCATGGGATGGGTAGAATGAATAGGGCCAGAGGACAGAGAAGAATATTAAAACCATATGTAGCAAAGGTAGCAATAAATTTATGGGGGTGTGATTTGTTACAGCAATGGAATACTCAGAAAAACATTCCCCCAATCTTAGAAACAAACCATAAATTAATGTATGTTTCTGGGTAAAATATTATAAGATATAAAGAACAGTCACTGACCATTCTGGTTGTACAAGAACAGGGTACAACAGCTGCTGATATTTCAAAGGCACCAACAGCCCTATCTTTAATATAGTTCACAGACAAC